ACAGCAGCATGCGTTGACGCTACGGTATCCCGGTAGATGAACAGAGACTGATCATACAGCACCGGGTGATTCACTACCGCTATAATGAATTTTCCCTCCATTTTTTGGAATATGAGGAAATGACCTGCGTAGTCTCTCCCAGCATACACAGGGTTTGATTGGCTAGCGCTTGTACTGGCAGATTTGAATAAACGGGATTTCATTGGCTGACGCTTCTGCGAGGCGTCAAAAGTTGAACATTGCTCAACTTTTGACGCGAGCAACGCTCCCCACAATGCAGTTCGGCGAAGCGTGACGTCACCCCATTCAAAGTGAATGGGCAGAAGCGTTGAAGCTTCAACGCACGCCGCTGTGTGGATGGGCCGTTAACGACACACCTGATCTACAATGCAAATTTACATTACAAAGAGCCCACTACAATGAACTATCGTCCAATAAAGCCTTGGCAAGTATCAACAGACTGTCACGATCTGTCTGTGTTGTGTTTTGTCTTGTCTAGATCTGTCTTTGGTTTTCTGTCTGCGTTGTGTTTTGTCTTGTTTAGATCTGTCTTTGGTTTCCTGTCTTGCCTGTTGCTGCCTGTCTGTCCCTCCTACCTAATTACCCGATTGTGTTCACCTGGTGCCCCTGTGTTTTCTCCTCCCTCCTCACCTGTGTCTTGTTTGTGTGATTGGTCTTGTGTGTATTTAAGTTCTGGTTTTTCTGTCTGTCATTGTTGGTTCGTCGTTAGTTGTTGACTGTGTTCACCGGTGAGTGTTCTGTCTGTCCAAATTCTATTTGTTATCCTTGAAATAAAGGTATAATCAGTTTAATCTGCATTTAGGTCCTGCTTCCTTCACTCAACCGTAACAGAACCAACCAACCAAGNCCTACCTAATTACCCGATTGTGTTCACCTGGTGCCCCTGTGTTTTCTCCTCCCTCCTCACCTGTGTCTTGTTTGTGTGATTAGTCTTGTGTGTATTTAAGTTCTGGTTTTTCTGTCTGTCATGGTTGGTTCATTGTTTGTTGTTGACTGTGTTCATGAGGTAGTGTTCTGTTTGTTCCTTAAACCTTGAAATAAAGGTATTTTTTCAGTTTATTCTGCAATTGGGTCCTGCCTGCTTCACTCACCCTAACAGCACATCAACATAGACATTCACCATCTTTGTAAGAGGGCTTTAGCTTAGCAAGTTTAAGAGAGGGTAGCCATGCAAACTGTCTGGTTTTGCAGCCTACTTTGTAACCTTAATGTGTTGTCGGGTCATGATTTTCTCTTAGTCATGAATATACTACAACTCTCCCTACAAACTCACTCACATCCACGTCAGCATTTACATACTTCATGGAGAGCTAACTCATTAGTAAATAATACGCCAGCTTTTTCGGACTAAGGACTGAATGCAAATAGAAAACTTCAAGTACAAAAACACTAAAGCAAATTGAATGCCTCAGCAATCCGGATATCAAAGGATGTTTACACCTTCTAAATTAGTAGTTAAGCTTCTCTTACAGGGTTTTTGTATAATCTTAATTGCTGCTCATTATGTCTGTTCTGGTTAGCCCTGTTGTTCTTTTTTGGGGGAGGTGTGCAGTTTATACAACCCAAACCCACCTGAATCTAAAAAAAAACAAACAAGCTAACAGACAAAAACATGTTGTCCTTTTCATGGCCAAATTGTAGCGCCTCTTCAATTTGAAAGTCTGTTTTGACAACGTAATCAAACTTGGTCATCTAGCATTTGAACCACTAACAATAAGACACAAAGAATACAAACACCTTATTTCATGATTGTCATGAAAGTGTGCTACAGACACATTGAAAATGGTACTTAACCAACTCCTTGGTCAAACACTCAATGACAACATGTTTATGAAGTTGTGTATCTTTACTGGGCTACAGGTGCACACAATGAGCATCATTAACCAACCAAATGAAACAGTATTGAAAGATATTCTGTTTTGGTTAATAATCTAAAGTTTAGATATGACTTAGGGAAATCATTGTGGTAACCGTTTACACAAATAAAACACAAACATTGGGATTGCGGTGGAACGTTGGCTCCACCCTCCCCATAATTCTAGTGGTTTGGTTTTTACAAATGTGCAACAGTATGTGAGGAAATGTCTGGCGATCAGAGCGCTTAATGTTATATTTGTGATGACTTTCAGAATGTTGTAATAGTAATTAATCTCCTTTTTTATAATAGTGTCAGCTAACAATTTCAAATGCTTGGTGTTAGAGTGTTAACTAGCTGAGGGTGTATTCACCTGCTTTGTTAGCGAAGAGCGTGCCCTCCAACTCAAGAGAACTCCTGTCTTGGAGTGATAATATATTGATGTTTGTTCATGGAATGGTGAGTTTTGATATGAGATGGGTTTCACCTCTTAGCACAATATTAATTATTAAACAGTCGAGGAGGCAGAAATATTCATTTTTTAGATTAAATACTCGCTAACCATCGCAATGGAAAATAAGTTATTGGCCAGTCAAACCATCCAACTTCCCAAACCTCTCCAAGTCTTACACTCTAAGCTTTTGAGCCAAATAAGACAAAGATGGGACATTATTGAATTACTGATTCAAACAATATTGTATTTCTACAAGGGCTGAGGTGACACTACATATTACACCTTTAATCCTTCCCAAATGTGTGTTTAGTTTTGATGATTTAAATAGAGACATTTCCTAAACCTCCTTTTATTTGGGAATTCCCTAGATTCACTTGGCCGCATTGATCTCTGAGCCCTCTGTACAAACCACTAATATCATTCTGGGAATAATTACACTGAACAAAAATATAAACGCAACACTTTTGTTTTTGCTCCCATTTTTCATGGGATGAACTCAAAGATCTAAAACATTTTCTATATACACAAAATAACCATTTCTCTCAAATATTGTTCACAAATCTGAAAAAATCTGTGATAGTGAGCACTTCTCCTTTGCCGAGATAATCCATCCCACCTCACAGGTGTGGCATATCAAGATGCTGATTAGACAGCATGATTATTGCACAGGTGTGCCTTACGGCCCGTCTACACTACAGGCATCAAAAAATCTTGAAGCTGGGCGTGTCTGAAGCTTGGCAATTTTTTGCGAGCAACGCGACCAACAACCAATCACATGAATCTCCCGCCCCCGACTTACAAAGCAATAGCAATGTTAAAACGTAGTAAACTGGATATAAACTCTCCAAACAGGCGAAAAACCTACCAGTTTCACCCACTGTCTCTGTTGTGAATCGAGTGGCCCATGGTGGTGGTGGGGTTATGGTATGGGCAGGCGTATGTTATGGACGATGAACACAGGCCACTCGATTCAGAACATTACCCTAACCCTAACCCGAACCCATCTAACCTAAAGGAGCTGGAGCAGTTTTGCCAAGAAGAATTGAAACAAATCCCAGTGGAAAGATGTGCCAAGCTTATAGACACATACCCCAAGAGACTTGCAGCTGTTATCGCTGCAAAAGGTGGCTCTACAAAGTATTGATTTTGGGGGGGTGATTGTTATGCACCCTCATGTTTTTTCACAATAACAAATATTTGTTGCATCTTCAAAAGTTTTAGACATCAAATAATACAAATTTTCGAAAAATCAAATTTGCCAAGGAGGGTGAATACTTTTGCAAGGCATTGTGTAAATCCTTTGCTCCTCCTATTGTCTGTGACTATTTAATATATTGTTTGTGTATATAGCATTTAGAAATGTTTTGTATGTATATAGTAGATGTTCACAATGCTTCTATATTTATAGGTAAGCAGGTAGGGTAATAGGGTAATTAATCCCCGCGGGAAATGTCACTGTTACAGCAGAAACCAAATACAAATAAAAAGCAACCTAAACAATATAAAACACTAATGAGCAATAACTCAAATATAAAAAGGAGATAATTTTTACTCTAAATACAAACCTAAACAACTGCTCTTGCACCTGTGCTGCAGTGATACTTCAGTTTGCTTGGCAGGGATCAATAAAGTTGATCTGACCTTGTAATGCTAAAAGTATTTCAATTAAACATGTTTCAATTTCCCAAACTTACTTTAGGTGGAATGAAGAATTCCAGGTAGTACTCCTCTCCTCGCTCCCCCCCTTCCCGGTCCCTCTCTTTGAGGACCAGACGACACTTATGCCAGCGTCCTCCTCTCCAAGGGACGTTCCCCCCGCTGGCCAGCGGCTGCACCCCCCCCTGAGCGGCAGCGGAGGATCCAGAGGCAGCGTTGTTGTTGTCCGTACCGTGGTGCAGCAGCCCAAAGGAGAAGCCGGAGAAGCCGTGGCTTCCGCTTAGCTCGTCATTGGATGAACTGACACTCACCCCACCCTCCCGCACCAGCCGGCCCACCTTCCTGGGGGGTCCCATGCCGGCTGCGGCGGCGCTGCTGGGTGGCAGCGTAGAGGAGCCGGAGTGAGGGCCGGCGTTGGTCGGAGTGAGGAGAGGGGGAGGGGATCGTGACAGTCTGAGCTTCTCAAGACGATGGCTCCACTTTTCCTTCTCGCATCCCTCGCCGTTGCTCCGCCGCCGATCCCTCGCCGCCTCAGAGAGAGACAGAGAGGTGGCGCTACTTGAAGATGAGGGCGGCAGCGAGGAGGAGGAGGAGTGGGGAAGGGAGAGGGGCATGGAGAGGGAAACGGGCATGGAGGAGGTGGGTGTAGGAGGCTGTGTGCCAGAGTTCCTCTTTGAGCTTGACACCAGCGTGGCATCCTGCACGCCCATGGTGTAGCTGTAGCTGGAGGGCAGCTGGCTCTGGGAGGAGTCGCTGGAGGAGCTTCGCCAGTGCAGGATGCCCCGCACGCTCCCCCGCACACTACGCCCCACACTCCGCAGAGAAAAGCGCTTCTTCAGTTTGTTTTTGGAGGAGTTGGGCGTACTGTTACCGGGCGGGGGAGAGGACGAGGAAGGTGAAATAGTGTAGGAGGGGTCTGCACCATCCACCTCCGCCAACTCTGCCTCCTGCTCCTCTGGCTCCACGTCTTCCCCCACAGATGCCACCCCTAACCAGCTGTCCTCCTCTTCCTCCACTGGAGCTTCCCCGTTCCCCGGAGCCATCATGGCACCCCGCTCCTCACGCCTCCCATTGTTGCCTCCCACTGAGGAGCAGCATGACGATGATGAGGATGGAGGCAGGACTTGGGTGTGGGCGTAGGAATCTTGGAACCTGTCACCACCGCGGTTCTCTAACACCAGTCGTGCCGGTGCTGGCTTGGATAAAGCCCGCATTGTGTTGGTGGGGGGGCACGGGAGGACAGCGGCCCCAGTCGCCGACAGAGGGGAGACTGCTTCTTCTTCCAGGGAAGTAGCGTCTGACTGGGGAGCCCAGCTCGCCATGTCGTCGTCCCCAGAAGCACAGCTCGGCGGGAGCGCCCCCTCCAGCTCACTCTGGAAGTGACGGACGAAGCGGTCGGTAAAGCGCCGGCAGAAGGCGGACGCCGAGTCCGAAGAGTAGTGGGGGTTCTCCAGGAGGAAAGCCCGAAAGTGCCGTGCAAAGTCACCGGCTGCAACGCGGGCGTGGAGCTCACAGAATTCGGTCCAACTCAGGCAGGGCGAGGGGGAGGGGGTGGGGGTGTCTGACAGGGAGGATGGGTGAGCTTGTGGTGGAGGGCTAACCAGAGGGGGGAGAGGGGGCGGCCGGGGCGACATAGGCAGCATGGAGGGAGATGGAGGGGATGGAGACGGGGAGGGGGAAGGAGGTAGAGGAGAGGAGTTTGCCGCCCGCGGGCTGGGCGGGGTTAAAAGAGAGCCGTTCATCCTGATGGTCAATCAAATCACTTCAAACATACGACAGAAAGCTGAAGTGATTGCACAGCTGGGGTCACTGACTGGGGGCAAACACGGCACATTGGTCTAATCATTTACAAATGAGTGTGAACTTAAGTGTCGTGCTCAGGAGCCCCATCTAAAATGAAGACTTGAAATGCACCGGACCCACGCAAGATGGAGTTAAAAGAGGTCAAATATCTTCAAGGCTAAGCTTTCTGCTACATTATTTTTATAATTGTAATACTTTCAGCAAGAAAATATCAGATTCAGACAGCCAGTAGCAGGATGGGAAGAGGAGGATGGATTAGTTAGACCTGCCCTTTCTTCACTATCTGTCATACATCCAGAGAAGCGTGGCCACATCCTGTAAAAACACAGAAACAAACTGTGAGATCAGTTTCATAATACTATGAAGGCTGGTAATTAACAGGTGAAGAATATTACATCAGAGGTTGCAACAGAAATAAGGTCGAGAAATTAAGAGAGCTATCACCACAACAACAACAACAGAATGAAGGCTATTAGTCTATCCAGACCAAAGCACATAACAATCTGTTCAAGCCTGGATTTGAAAAAATAATCTGCAGAGCTTTCCACATTTGACGTGAGAATTACCTGCAAAGGAGGGGAGCCCAACAACGTTTAATTAAACCAGGTAACATTTAAATAACCAGCGTACAGGATGTGATTAGAGTTACCTTGTTAGTCAGATGGAGGATTTAGAAATCAGCTCTGATTTGTGTTGGGAACAAGTTCTTTAATTTATATTACTTACTCAAACTACATTTATCTGACAGCTTTAAATTCTCCTCAGATCAAGGTTTTCGTAAACACAATCAAAGTTGATTAGTATAATGTAAATATTAATTAAATTTTTTATTTATAAACATGATTTCAAAAGCGAGAAAATGTGCTGCTTTTTCCACCTCGTAATGTTAATATGTTAGTAATACAAGTAAATGGAGGTTTGGTCAAAGCACACATGGTTAATATGTCGATTTGGGTTTTGGGTCATTGGGACGCCATTTCTTATTATCTCCACTATTATTACAAAGCAAACGACTCATTGATAATACGCAGATAAACCATAATACACATCATCTTCAGTTTGTAAAAAAAGAGCTATACCTTTACCAACTACAAAAGTTAAACCTTGCTTTTACATTATTGCAAGAGTAAAACAAATATAATGATATCGAGTATAATAGTAAAGTGGTCATATCTGGGACATGTTTATACTTTAAATGCTTTAACAACATGTTCTTGATTATAACCTATACTTTAACTGGAGTAACATTTTCAGGGCAGGACTTTTTACTGTAACATAGTATTTTTACAGGATTACAGTTGTGCATTTACTATATTAACTGAACACATCCTCCACCACTGTCAAACATATCAATTATTGATAATTATTAATGAATGTCTTCAAATATCACATTCGCACTTGTTAGCTAGCTAACATGAACTAGCAATGTGAGTGTTGCTCATTCAGCTTTCTTTAAAGACGTGTAACGTTCGCTAGCTAACAATAGCTAACCAACGTCAGCTAACTAACGGACCTGCTGATAATTAGCATCTTTATTTAATAATAATTGGTATCATATGTCTTATTTTGTATAACATGTCGCCACATAATGAATCATCCCAACAACAAGCAGCTATAACGAAAGAGTATTTGCGAGCTAAGCTAACCGTTAGCCTGTTAGCTTAGCTATTAATAAACCAGCTAGCTTAGCTATCAATATTGCTTCAGCACAATGTTGTGTGTGTTTTCTCTACCTGTACATCAGAGTCCAGTGTTTTCATCCGTGTCTGTGTGGTGGCACACATTTCATCCATCTTTTACTCACATAACGAAATAATAATATTTCTTCGTTAAAGGTTGTTGTTGTTGTTGCTAAATATGAATATTGCTATGCCTTGCCTGGACCCGTCCTTCTCGCACACTGCCCCTGACTCTCGCGATGGTTCGGTAGTACGTTAGGTCGGTGTTCGGTCGTTGACAGCTGCAGTTTAAAAAAAGTATTTAAAAAAACCGCTGGATTTAACCGGACGAGTCGTTTCGAGTGACACACATGTGAAGGTAAACGGGAAAATGAGCCCCGTGGGAGAACAGCGACGTAGACTGACACCTTCCTCCCGGATTTCCACCCCTATCTCAGTAAACAAACAAACAAACAAGCAAACAAACTGTAGTGGAAAAATATCCTTCAGCTTATTTTAGAAAAAGTACAAACTCAGCTTTATTTATATATGTATTTATATAGAATATTTAATACAAAAATGCAGCCAAAATGTGCTTGGAGAAGAAAAAAAACATAAGCTCGTATGTTATTAATTATGTAATTGATAAAACAAGCACCAGTTGTACAAATAATAATGACAAAAAGTGATTTAGTTTTAAAAACAAAGGGTACGACACTACTCCTATTATAAATATTTTAAAAGTCATATGTCTCTAAACTAAAACTAGTATACTACAAATCAATAATATTGTACTATACCACACAAAATATGCTGTTAAAGTATGTAAGATATTCAATAAAATATAGTTCAAGTATTTCAATTATAACAATGTAGTAGTGCATTCTCATAATATTATAGCCCAAATGATATCATTAGAATATTAGTATATTTAGTAATTGTATAAGAGCAGGGATACTGGTTTAACCTGCACCAGCTCAGAGAAAAGTACAAATAAAGAGATTCAAATATATACATGTCAACATAAAGATGAATAAATAAAAACAATACACAGGGGAAAAAATATGTAAGAGAATAAACTAATTTTTCGTAATTTTTAAATAAATATATAATATCTATTCATTATTGTAGCTATTTCTGTATATATTTCCATATATGTTATTTACTTATTTATTCTTTATTTATTTTGTTTTACATTTCAATATTTTCTGTTTGTATTTCAACACTCCCTATTTATTTATTTATGTTGTTTTGCTTCTGTTTATTTCAACATGTTGTACTAACTTACTAGCATGTTTTCTTTCATTTATGTTCACATGTTAACATTTTGATTTACCTTTTAATTTTGTATTCACTTCTGTTTTTATTTCCAATTAACTATGACTCAATATTGCTGTTTCCGATACATATATACAATCATTGACTGTACATATAATGTACAATTAAACATAAATTACCATGGCCTTTAAAATAATAATAAAGAAATATTTTGAGTATTTTACTGTTAATAGTTATTTTGATGTTCATTGCATTGGTTTATTCTGTATATATAAAATAGAGACCATCTTAAACTCAGAAGTGTTCAAGAAAATAATGAGGAAGCAGGTTATGTGGAAAAAGATGTTATTGCATAACAGAAATGACCCTTGTTGAGGATTTGAGGTTTCCTTTGAAGTGAACGGAACATGTGCAGAGTCCGTTGTGTTGCCTCATGTTCTCTTCCTGCAGCCGTTACTGGAGCTCAGGCAGCAGTCATTGTCAGCTTTACACGTTGATTTGGACCATCCACCGGTGAAGGACAGGCGGAGGGCCCCTCTGCAGATCAGAGTGAACCAGTAGAGCTGCAGGGGCCACAGCAGGGCGGCCCCCAGGTTGCACTGCCACGGGGCCACCAGGGGCACCACGTACACGGGGATGGACGCATACCTTAGACACAAAGAGTCAATCATGCTCATTACTATTCAGTGGTAAAAACATGACCCACGGTCGCAGTTAAGCTTCACAAGGGATCGTGGGGCCCAGAGGGAAGTTTTTTGAAAGGAAGTCTGTTTTCACATTCATGGAATTTGCTTTGATTCAAACTCAATGATTAAAATGCTTAGTTTTTGGCTAAAAAAAATCTTCCTTCCAACAGTTGAACAGACAACACTGAATACGTAAAAACTAAATAAAAGAGTGCAATAAATCAGTGCAACATACATTATTGTGCAACTAAAATGGTGTATATTGGTGCACATAAACACGATAAGAGAAATTAAAAGAAAATGGAAAAATAACAGTAAGTAGAAAATTAAAAAACAGTTATAAAAACTTTTATAAAACTAAAAGAAGCATTAATGTACCAACAAAAAATGTGAGGAAACTATGGCAAAGATATTAGCTAGGATTGGAAAACACTGATTTAGCTAGAAAAACAACCACCTGCAAGTTTCCACTGGATGGCGCTGTGTCTTTAAACAGTTTGTCTCCTGACAGGAAGTTAGCAAAAAAGTATTTGTTTTATAAGGAAAGCATATTTTTGCGTCATATTATATTTTCAGAAGTCTTTATGGACATCTTTCCATGTAACTAGATTGAAAACGAATAATGTTCTAAAAACACCCTCAACACATAGGTGATTTGTCTTTCTATACTAAAGGTAATTAAGTCTAAATTAAGCTAAAATAATATTTTAAATCATCCCCTACATCCCCTGCTACAAAAAATAAAATTAATCAATTTTTGTTATATTATATATTTTAAAAAATCCCGTTATTAAATAGGAGAAAATGCAGGTTTCTTTTAGTATTAAAAACATATCAGAGGAATCTGTTGAATTGCCATTTAGTGATTGATGCTAAAATAAAAATGAAATGATAACACAACTTTCACTGCAAAGAACATACATTCAATGTGATCAATTATATATTTAATTGTATCTGTATGATTTCTCACAATTTCATATGTGGCCTTTAAAAAAAAATTTTTTTATTATATATATTTGTAATTCTATGCTTAATATATTTAATGTATATGTGCTCTTTTGTATATATTTTTTATTCTATACAATATATTTTGTTAATATAATTTCAAAATACATTTTTTTTACACAATATAAACTAAACAAAGAACATGGCACATGTTCTTTTTTTGTAATTTGAAAATGTAGGCTATTTTGCAAATAATAACCAATAATGAAAAGTAACTCAAGCTGATGTTAAATAAATTAAGTCTAGTGAAATAAAACAATAGTTACCTCTGAAATGTATTGCAGTAGTGAAAAATGAAGTACTAGAAGTAATGAGTTACTTTACCTGCTGTAGGCGTAGTACAGGTAAGGGAAGAGGAGGACCCGGCAGCAGAAGAAGGCGAGCAGCATCAGGACTCCATTCACTTTGTGCAGCACAGTGTGCTGCTGCTGGTACTGACCACAGGGGAGGAAGTATGAAGGCTCAGACAGGACAATATTGCAAAAGTATTTTTTAAGGTCTTGATTTTTTTAACATTAAATGTGATATATAATAAGCCAATGTATCTTGAAATCATTCATTTATTACCAAATCATCTTGACATTAAAACATATAATTATATTTTAACAGATATATATCTTATTTATGTATAGGATTGGTATACCTGGATGAGTACTTTCCCAAGACAGACAAACGGGGTGCTGAGCTCAGCCAGAAACAAAACACCCTGGAAGAAATCTCCTTTCCCCTGACGCCACATCTGACACACACACACACACACACACACACACACACACACACACACACACACACACACACACACACACACACACACACACACACACACACACACACACTTACTTTGAGTGATATTACTCTACTAAGTCTGTATTATGTTCTTATGTTTGTGTAAGTCTTTAACCTCTTTTCCTGTCGTACACTGTTTTCTTGGTTTTGTTCTCCTTTTTTGCTTTTCTTTATGTTATATCTCTCAAAGGCTCCGCCCTCTACTGGACTCTATGGGTACTACCCCTTGATCATATCATGCAAGCATTCGTCCACTGAGACTTCTATAGACGTAGCTGGCCCCGGGGTGGGCCTACCTGAATGCGCGTGCATCCCACTGTATAAAAGGAGGCCTCGCCTCCTGACTGTCATCCTTTCCTCTTCAGCAAGCAAGGAACAACTGGGCAAGAAAAGCTGGCGGCTGGAGCATTTCCAGGAGCGATATGTCTCGCCGGAAGAGGCGGAGGACCCGGACCTCGAGGTGGTGGAGATGGAGGAGCACGATGACGGAGTGCCCTTCGTGTTCGCCATGCCAGCGGACAGGGCCGCCCCGTTCGTCGGGGAGAGGGACGACGACGACACCTCGTTGTCCGATGCTTCCAGCGGCCTCCAGGGGGATCCGCAGCACAGGTCTGCGCGGCAGGACTTCCCGGCGGTGATGACTATGGCGATGGAGCGCGTAGGCTTACAGCTCCCCCCACCGCTGCCACCGAGGCCGGTGGTGTGCCCTCCCCGGATGAGAGCCTGGCGGCCCATCTGCTTCCGCAGGCAGCCGGGTGGGCAGAGGGGAGAAAGCCTCTGCCCCTGCTGCCGCGTGACCGTGAAATCCTGGAATATCTGGATAAGATGTTCAGGCTCGGAGCGCAGATGGCAGCAGCAGTCAGTAATCTCGCCGTGTTGGGGGTCTCGCTGATCACCCCTCAGCAGGACATCCCCGCCTCCGGACGGGAGATGAATAATCTGGCCCACAGTATGGCTACCGCCGCCAGACGTGTGATGTCCCTGGCCACCGTGGCGTTGCGTCACGTGTGGTTAGGTTTGACCGCACTGTCGAGCCATGGCCAAGGAAGCTGCTCTACGCCTTTCCACCGCTGCGTCTCATTGTCCCTCTCCTGGGAAGAGTGAGGCGAGAACGTCTGTCAGTCATCCTAGTAGCGCCGGATCGCGTCGGGGCGCCGTGGTACTCAGAGATGACACAGATGAAGGTGGGCCAGCCCTGGGCGATTCCCCAGCACTGGGGGGCGATGTCTCAAAAGGCAGATGCAATCGGGGCGTCACCCACTCTGGGCCAACCTCTCCAGGCTTGGCTCCTGAGAGGGACAGGCTGAGACAGGGTGGATTGTCTGACAGTGTTATTCAGTCTATCCAGGCAGCTAGGGCTGGATCCACCACAGCCTGTTACAGGCCGAAGTGGCTGGGATTCCAGCGATGGTGTGAGGAGCGGAGAATAGAGCCCCTATCTTGTGAGTTGGGCTCTATTTTATCCTACTTACAGTTATTGGTGGACAGAGGGCTGGCGCATTCCACAGTGAAGATGTATGCAGCAGCCATCTCGTCCTGTCATGAGGGATTTGGTGGCAGGTCTGCCTTTAGTCAACCACTGATGTTGCGGTTTTTACAGGGGGTTAGGAGACTGCGCCCTGTGGTGCACGTCTCCACCCCGTAGTGGGACCTGCCCTTAGTGCTCGAGGCTCTGGCCTCAGGACCATTTGAGCCTCTGGAGCTCTCCTCTCTGAAAGCATGGTCGTGGAAAACAGCTTTGCTTCTTGCCTTAACGTCAGCCAAGAGAGTGTCCGAGTTAACCGCTCTGTCGGTGCAACCGAGTTGCTTGTTGATTCGGGGGGACCGGAGTGGGGCGACACTCAGACCGAACCCTTCCTTTGTGTCCAAGAGCCTAAGGAGTGCGTTCAGGTCGAGGGCTATTCCGTTAGGGGGTTTTAGTCTTCCACCCCATGGTGTGGCCAGGGAAGCTAAATTGCACCTTCTCTGCCCGGTGCACGCGTTAGCATGTAAAGTAGAGCGCACAGCTGCCCTTAGACGCACTGAACAGCTGTTTGTGTGCTTCGGGGACGGGGTGACCGGGAAAGCTCTATCCAAGAAACGCCTGTCAGGCTGGCTCTGCGAATGCATTGCACATGTCTACGGACNAGTTGGGCTCTATTTTATCCTACTTACAGTTAGTGGTGGACAGAGGGCTTGCTCATTCCACAGTGAAAGTGTATGCAGCAGCCATCTCGTCCTGCCATGAGAGATTTGGCGGCAGGTCAGCCTTCAGTCAGCCATTGA